CAACTCTTTGGTTGTCGTAAAGAAGGTAAGGTTCTTGTGGTCCGTTCTGACGATGACTTGTTGCTTTGCTCCTTCGAGGTAGACTCTCCATGTTTTGAATGCGGTGACGATTGCCAATAGTTCCTTGTCGTGGATGTCGTAGTTTAGTTCCGCTTGGATCAATTTCCTTGAATGGAACGCGACTGGTTTTGGCTTGCCGTCGTCTCCTGGTTGAGTCATTCTCATCCCGATAGCGTAGTCTGAAGCGTCTGTCTCAATCGTTGTTTCTTTCTCTGGGTCGTGTTGCATCAAGACTGGTGCAATGGTGAGTTGGTGTTTGATGTCTTCAAATGCTTTCTGACAGTCGTCTGTCCAGTTGAAGTCCTCTGTTTTCTTCATCAGGTTGAAGAGTGGTCCTAGCTTGTGCACGTAGTGATAGACAAATCTTCTGTAGTAGTTTACTAATCCCATGAATTGTTGTAGTTCTTTGAGATTTCTTGGTCGTGGCCAGTCCCTGACTGCCTGAACTTTGTTTTTGTCGGTATGGATTCCCTCCGTGGATATCCAATGTCCTAGAAAGTCTGTTTCTGTGACGTGGAACTCGCACTTCTTCAATTTGCATCGTAGTTTGGCGATTCGTAGCTTCCGTAGCACTTGTTTGACGTGTATCTTGTGTTCTTCGAGATTCTTCGAGAAGATAAGGATGTCGTCGAGGTATGCGATGACGAACGTATCCAGTAGTTCTCCTAGTACTTCATTGATGAATCTCTGAAATGATGCTGGTGCGTTGGTGAGACCGAATGGCATGACCAAATATTCATAGTGGCCATATTTTGATCTGAATGCCGTTTTCCATTCGTCTCCTTTAGCGATGCGTAGCCTATTGTATGCGTCGGTGATGTCGAGTTTCGTGAAGATCTTAGCTCCTTTGAGTTTGTCTTGTATTTCCGTGATTAATGGTAACGCGTGTCTGTCTTTGATCGTGACTTGGTTGAGTGGTCTGTAGTCCACACATAGTCGTAGGCTTCCATCTTTCTTTGGTACAAACAGGACGCCGTGTCCTGCCGGTGATTTTGATGGTCGAATTGTTCCTTTCGCTAGTTGTTCCTCAATGTACGCTCGTAGCGTTTGTGATTCCCTTTCTGACATTGGGTAGATTTTCCTGCATGCCACTTGCTTTCCTTCTTCGATTGGAATAGTGTGGTCGTGTGGCCCATGCTCTGGTAGTTCGGGGTTTTCGGGTTGCTCGAATAGTTCCCTGAATCTTCCGTAATCCTGCGGTACGACAATCTGTTCTGTTGCCGCTAATACTTGCACTTCGATGTTGCTGGTGTTGAGTCCCTCACCCGTAGGTCTCTCGGTGACTTCTCCCAGTGTCGTGATTTCACAATAGTTTGTCGCTGTGTCCGGTGCCCACCCCGGTAGTGTTATTAACCAATCTCGGTGACTTGGCTTTGTCGCTGCCAACACTCGTGTCGCATGGTCGTCGTTAGGTTCACCTCTAAACCTCTTAGCCGATACTCGGGCTCCTTGCTCCTGAGTATGCCGTTGGGACTCAGACACCCCTGTCGTCTGTCCTTGTTTTGGGCAATTGCAATTCGTAAACTGAAGACTGCCTGTCTTCCAGTTGATTTCTGGGTTGTGATCCCTGAGCCATGGGATCCCCAATACTATATCGTACCGTCCTAACCGTGTCACGTCGAAGTTTATTCGTTCGAAATGACCGAATACAACCATAGGAGTCGGTCCCGATTCGACTGTAAGGTGGTTTCCTAAGTTTTCACCGTTCAGTCCTGCGATAGGTTCTGGGTTGGCTTTTCTGATGCCTTCGATGCCCAGTTTCTGTTGGAATTGAGGGTCCATGAAGTTGCCCGTTGCTCCGGAGTCAAGCATCACTTTGGCTGCCTGTCCGTGCACTCGTGCAATAAACTTGATATGGGTTCCCCATCCTGTTGCTGCGATCTGTTTTTTGTTTCGCCAATTTGGTGCTCGCTCGTATGGCGGTAGTTGTGGTAGGTAAGTGCTGATGAACTTGTCGTCGTAGTGCGTCCTGCACTTGTCATCGTAGCACTGCATCCATGCCATGTATTTGTGGTGTGGGTGATGCGGGTAACTCCTACAAGAACACTGTAGGTCCCAACATGGGCACGTTGTTCCCCATCCATCCACGCTCTTTGGCATTTTTGGCGAGTATCCTGACGCTGCCTTTTCTGCGTCATGCAGTCGGCAATGTTTGTCGTAGCACACTATCCATGGTAGTTCCTTGTGCCGTGGGTGCGTCCTAAAATGGGCACATAAGCACCATTCATAGTCGCAGTATCCATGTGGGTTGGAACGTCGTTTGTGCTCGAGTTTCGCGAGTTCGTCATGGTACCAGGTGTTGTCTTTCTGACACTGCGCGCACCATGTTCCTGAATGTTGCGCGTGCTTCCATCGGTGTGTTTCCCATGATTCGTTGGTTTTTTCCCAGCATTCTAGGTTCCAGTGGGTGCAATCCCTGACCCTGCTGCGGATGTTTGCCTCGATGGCTCCGTTGAGCTCTTTGATTCTGTTGGTCACAATTGATTGCTTCCTTAGCTTGACCAATGCTCGTGCGACGTCCCGTGCGTCGGCTTCTTCGCAATATCCTTCTGCGGTTTTCTCTGGTTCTAGGGGATTTTGAGGTGTATCAGTCTCTAAGCTCAGCCTTGGGCCTCTCGCTTGAGTACCGAATTCTTCGTCGAGCGGATCGATATCGTCCCAGACTATACTAGGAAATTCGTCCTTTTCGACTGGCTCATTTGTGCTGATGGCTTTATCGGACCCATCCGTTCTTGCGTGGAATTTGTCGCTTCCGCTGTTGGACTCCACCGTCCCTTTCTCTTCGTTAGGATGGCTTTGATCCTCTATGTCGTAGTCGTTGTCGTCGCTCCACCAATGATCGCTTAGATCCGTGGGTTCGTTTGACCAATCGATTTCGTAGGTTGCGCATAATTTCTTGGCTGGTGGGTCCGCCTTGGACCTTTTGCCCTTATCGCTGTTCTGAGCACCTTTGGCTCCTTCACGGGTAGCCTTCAACTGCTTCCTTGGTTCCCTATTGTTGTTTTTCTGTTGTTGGCCCGATCGGCATTCCCTTGCCATGTGGCCTTGTTTTCCGCAATTGTAGCATGCTCTGTCGTTTCGACGTCGTTCCCTTTCTTCCTTAGGGATTTCTCGGTGTTGAGCTGCGTCTAGCTCCATTGGTTGTAGCCCATAAGGATCGCTGTATCCTTGGCTCTTTGGCTGCGCTTGTCGTTTATCATTGGCGTTGTACTGACTTGTTCTCTGGTTGCCTTGGTACCTGTTGCCTGACTGATTTTTGCGCCTAATGTTGAAGTCGAATAACTTGTTGTCGATCTTAACTGCTTGTTCGATCATCTTGCTGAGGGTTCCTGGCCGTTCCATCCAGATCAGTTTCTCTTGAACTTCTGGTTTGAGCCCTTCCTCGAATCGTGCAATATAGGTGTCGTCATCCCAATCCAACTGAGATATGACCTGCTGAAATTCTGAAGCATACTGGCTGACTGATTTGAACTGTCGTAGTCGCCACAATCTTCGTTCTGCGTTTCGAACCGCATCGATGTCCCCGAATGTCGTACGGAGTCGTTCCTTGAAGTTGTTATAGCTCTTGAACACTTCTTTGGTTTCGTCGCCTCGATCGTTTTCGGTGTTGTCCTGGAAGTCCCTGATGTAGGGTTCGAACCAATCGAACGCTGGACCCTTCAGGTACGTGGCGGCGAATACAATTTTGTCGGATTCGGCGGCGAGTCTCTCTCCGTTCATCTTCATGTACATGTCCATTTGCGTTAGGAATGCACGAAGCTTAGAACGAGTGCCGTCGAATGCCTCTGGTGGTTTAACCTTGACAGTGCGGGTCGCAAGTCGCCCCTCTAAGGTTGCGATATGCGCCTGCAGTTGCTCGATCATGCCAACGACATCTGCTGGGGTTGGTCCTGCGCTGGCGTCTCCCTGACTGCTTCCACTGCTAGTCCTAGGGGTTGGCGCGGCCGTTCTGTTGTTGTTTGACATGATGGTGTTTCGATTTGTTTTTAAGTTAACCCAAGACTCTACTCGTGCTAACTGGCGTTCAATGTGTCAAGACCCTAGGATCCCTTCTCGCTTCTGCCGTCCTAGCGTTGGTGACTTGGGTTATTCGGGGTGAAGAGCGCCCTGCGGTCTTCCTATCAGTTATCGACGAGGGGTTCTGTACTAACCCGAGGCCTCACACAGTGGCCGTGCTACTGTATCGATCGACGAGTGACCCGATGGTCCAAAGGTGACTAATAAGCGATAAGAGAAGTAAGGTGTGTCAGGTACGAAAACCTGATCACTTAGGTTGAGTGTGGGCGAGTAGAAGCTAGACTTGAAATGTATACTCAGACTTGAGAGTGTTATTGAACGCGACTAACTAAACTGTAGATACAGGCGAATGAGTGTTCTTATATATCCTTCCTTGGCTACTCCCGTGGTGACTCCTTTGTGGTCACTTCCGGAGTCGCTCCAATTATGTGTTTCCCTTGGTGCCTACTCCTCCGGCTACTCCCTGGGGGTAGGCGTGGAGTAGGTGATCGCATCACGTAGCTACTCCTCTATCTCACGTTAGGAGTAGGTGATCGTATCACGTGACTCGTAGTCATCTTTGTGCAAGGGTTCCGATCCTTATGTCAATCGATTGGCGTCGGGCTTCTGCCTGGCTGTGCCGCCTTTCGTGGGGTATTAACCTCGTTGGGTTTCCGTAACAGAGGGTCCTTAACCTGGCCTGACCTGGCTATTACCCACTCTATTTCTTACCTAAATTATAAGAGGAATCAAGAAGTTTTAATATAATCAATTTCTGTCTAAATCAGCTATTTTCTTATATAATATTACTATTGATATACAAAACAATGATAAGCAATTCCAATACAAAAAAACAGCATTATATTGAATAACTACCCAGCGATTCCACCCGCCCAGCCAAGCCGCTAAGTAAATCGTACTTTAGTGGCTTGTTTGATCGATATCTACAAGGCCTTCTCTGGCCATGCAGTCCTTCTCTTAGCCCTAACATAGCAGTTCACGAGCAGTTCCAGCAAATACTCATGGTCATATACCACAGGATCAGGCGACATGTCGATAAACTCATATCTGAGCACTAGCATGGCCAGAATCATCCGCAGCTCGATATGAGCAACATTGAAGCCCACACATCCACGAGGTCCTGCTGCGAACGGCGAATACGCCATCCGGTGCTTCTTTACATTGGCTGATAGCCAGCGCTCGGGGTGGAACAGACTCGGATTCTCCCAGTATTCCTTGTTGCGATGTATTGAGGAGAAGAGCGGGTTGACAACGGCGCCCGCAGGGATCCGGTAGGCGCCGGGGACAATAACATCTGTTTTCGCGTTGCGCGCGGGCTGGAATGCTGGGCCATGAAGACGGAGCCCCTCTTTCACGAAACCATCAAGGTAGGGTAGAGACATGATGGTGTCATAAGTCCAGCATTTTTCGGGTGTTACATCATTGTTTATCAGTTCTTGGAGGATTTTTGCTTGCGTCTCTGGGTAGTTGGCCAGGAAGTAGAGGAGGTAGGAGAGCATCGAAGATGTCGCGGATATACCTGCCGCAAGGACAAGCAGGGCATTGGACGGAATATATTCGTCCGGTAGTTTTTGGTTCCCGTCATCGACGGCCCGTTTAAGGTAGTCTGCGATGCAGGTTGATTGGAGGGCTGCCTGAGAAATGGGTAGATCTTTTGCTCCCGGAAGCGGCCAAACATCGATTGCTTGGTGCATAAGTGAGGAGATGCGCTTTTTGATGGCGGAAAGCCGGTACGCAGGGCTAAAAGGAACATATTTGAGCCACGGGAAGCTGAGAGAAGCTTGCCTCACGGCAACGACAAATTCCCCCAACACACTAACAAGTTCATGAAGCTGTGTATCAGGCGTGTGGAAATGACCCACATCCAGTCCCAAGACCATCTTGCTTACTACCTGAGAGCTCAGCTTGAGCATGTATTGGTAGGCATTCCAAGGCTGGTGGCGATCATCAAGTGCGTCAAAGACCTTGAAAGAACTTTGTATCTCCTGTCGCATAGCTGGCATGTAGTGTTGAACAGCCTTGGGGGACATGCTAGGTGGTACGAACTTGTGAGCTAGTTTAACGCTCTCTGCTGCAGTGTCGGCTGCGAATAGGGCAGCAACATCACTGATCCAAAAGAGGGGATGATTGGGATCAGAGGTCTTCTTGGTGAAGAATTCGTTCTCGCCAAAAACTACTTCCGACACCCGAGGATCGTTGGTAAGGTAGACGGTCCTCCCCATGACCACTGTCTTGATGACATTTCCATACCGATGAAATAGACGCTCATGGTTGCCAAGGTGGTCGGGATGAATCTCAAAATAATTCCCAACAAATGGTATCTCCCGCGGGCCAGCAGGTTCGCGAATAGCCTGGTTATCCACGCAGACCCTGATCTTGCTTCTAGTCTGTTCAATCTCATTGATGCTAGATAGGAGGCCAGATTCGCCGTGGAATGATATTGCTGGGTTGCACTGATTTAGTCGCTATTATGTGATAAAGATGTATCGCACGCGGGAAGTAGCACTTACACTCAGGGACTGCCACTGAGAACATGCTGGCAGTGCCACGCCTCAGGTCGTCCAACGATTTCATATTTGAGATATCCACCGACAGACACTGATCTCCTGAAGTGCTGCCCGCTATTAAGTAAAACCATCTGGTTGTCATATTGCCGAGGCGATGGATATACAAGAAAAAAATTAAACACAGCTGTTAGACTCCGACTAGCAGGACTTTTATAAGCAGATAAATAATGTTGGTAAATAGGTTACCTCCTTCGGCGCCTTCCTGATTAGGGTTGTGTCCGACGGAAGATACCCCAACAGATTATCCGAGGTTTCTAGTTTCATATAACTTATCAGCTTTACCTCCTACGTCTCCCCCCTCTGATGGACCGCTATCTCGCCTTAAATATTGTTTTAGCTTCTAACGGGCTGATGGATATTTTTACCTTGCAGCAGGTTGCTGAACACAATACACCACGGAATGCCTGGATAGCCATCCACGGAAATGGTCTGCCACTTTGCTCATGTTAGGGTTTATTCAGAAGAGTCTAACTTGCGTTAGTCTATGACGTGTCTAATTATCTCGATGATCATCCAGGGGGCCAGGAAGTGTTAAAAGAGGTCGCTGGGACGGATGCCACGGAAGATTTCGACTACGCAGGTCATTCAGACAATGCTCAAGGCAAATTAGACACATTGCGGGTTGGAACCCTGGATAACTGGGTCAAGGTACAAACACTCCTATATATCCAATAAGCTACGGAGAGTAATAAGATGCAGAAACAAAACGTTCTGCCCCTTGGATATTCACCACAGGTTACGAAGACCGGTACCTCGCTACCGCGCTCCACTCGAAGACTGCTTCCGGGGACAGGAGTCGTGATAGTTTGTGGCGTTACACTCCTACATTATACCTGGAACATTGCTGGCAACAAACCTACTGATGGGGGGAACTGGTCTTGGTCTACGGTAAGTGTGATATTGGCGGTAGCTGCGGCTCTTGGGAGCACTCTAGGAATGTTCATCAGGAACATCTTATTCAATCATGGTAAAGGAGCGTTCCAGTATCCCCCATATTAGTCACAACAGATGTATGTACTATATTATTCATCTGCTATGGAGTTGAGGATCGAGGACAAATGTCATGCTGTTTTGGCATTTGGAGAGACCTATTATCATATGCTGAGAGTCAATTGTAAATATAACCTGAACTCATGAACCAATCTCAGCTGCTACACCCGAAATCCCGAACCTCTAAAAATATTTGGTATAGGGCTTAACCTGATTAGTACACCAGCAAATAATGATTCACGCATTTGGTAACCAAGGACTAACACAGTATTAGTTGTAGTTTACATACATATAGACATAAGGCAGTTATTGTCATGGAACAATCAGGCGCCTAAATCATACAAATTGGGATGTGTGTGTGTGAGAGAGAGAGAGAGAGAGTTCTATCATACTTGATTTTATCTCTGTTTCTGGGATTTTTCATGCCACTGACAGCTGAAGAGCCTGAATAAAGTTAGTCAGTTTGTATGAGTTGTATGATTATAAGATTATAATTATCTTGTCTACTTGATATACAAATCTTAGAAGGCATAACAGAAGAGAATAGACATAGTCTATTGAAATATCGAGATAAGTATTTTAGATATTATGTCAAAAAAGTAAATATGTATATATATTCATACATCAAGAGGTCCCTATATAATTGAAGAAAAAGCAACAGAAAGAAAAATACGAAGTATCGACATAACATGATTAATCAAGGAGAGAGCAACGTGAAAGATGTATAGATAGAGGCTTTTACATCCTTGAAACAGGAAGCAAAGAAGGATAGAAGACATGTACAGACTGGCGACTGCATGGTTGGAGATGGAAGCCCCTTTTCAAATATATATAAAAAGACTATATAGATATATGGATAATTAAATTATACAGAGAATAGAGTTCTGTGTAAATGAGATGTTTCGTGCAAGCCACAACTATAACTATACCAAGATTCGTATAGTATACTGTATATTGAATCTGCGGCTTCTAAATTATAATAGTCTAATGTATCAAAGTTTAGACCGGGACATACCCTGTTTCGCCGCCCAGTGAACTGACGACGCCAGTTCCCGTAGCTCATCTTTAACCGGAAGACTATGACCTCCTTGGTGCTGATGAGCCCGCATAAGCAAACCAACACACATATCCTGGACTGATAAAGATATTTGCCGCATATGCGTCATTTCCTTCTTGCCCATGACATGTACTGTAGGAATATCAATACGGTCTTTCACAAACAACGGGTGCAAGAAACAGGGAACAGCGTCACTATCATGGGTGTGAAAGAAATCGACCTTGAAGACAGGCTTCGTAATTCCCAACCGATCATAAACCAAACGGTATAGAGAAAGATGCTGCAGAAATGTACGCTCCACAGTGTCAACGTGGTCAGAATTCCACCCCACGAAATCCAAATTTGATTGTGGGGATGAGTGTTTGATTAGTCTCTTGATCTCGCCCTGAAGAAGCAATGTGTTCGGTGAAAATGGACCAGCGGCAGAGATGAAGATGGCAAAGCTGAACTGGGGGGGTAGACGGGGCTGTCGCATCTGGCGATCCAGTATGTACAAAGCTGCGATGGCACCCCCATGACTGAAGCCCAGAATGCCGTCAAATGGTCCATTGTGTTCGAAGAAAGTGTTCAAAGTGTTCAAGTTCCCAAGGACTTCGACAAGCTCGGCGGGTGAATGATCATCTAGGTACGAGTAGTATGGCCCCGCGTACCATTTTGGGACGCCTTGTACCAGTGTTAACGTTGGATTAATCATGTATTGAGGGTGATATGCATACCAGGTCCTTTGCCACAGCAGACCCCCCCATCAAAGAAAGTGAAATCATAGTCTGGTCCCAGCAAGACTATAAGAGGTGCGAGCTGCTTCTTTAGAAATGCACTTGAGGAACCTATCCCGTGTAGTGCAAGCACCTTCATGGCTCATAAGCTATGAAAGTATTCCAAAGTCACTGAAAAAGAGGCAGATTCTACCGAAGACCCGTGTAGTAGCGGATTTTACATTTATGACAAAACTTTCGTCTTCCCCTGCCAAGTATTGATGATTTATCCACCAGCATGAGGATTAGTGGAAAAGGCAAATATCGACGTATTAAGATAAACCTGTCATCAGGCAAGACTTTGGTGGTACAATCTCCCAATATCCCATCGAATAAGTATAAGTACAGATCGGAATTTGCCTTGAAGGGTAATCCGTAACCCCTGTCCGCACAAGCGGATACACCCCAGCTTGTCATCATCCGGCAGCCTTGTAATAGACACAGCGGTTTACCGCGGTTCGGCTGAATATCATTAGAGCTGAGATTTCAGATAGACATTGCTAGTCTCAATGGGTGACCAGCCCTCACTGTACGTCGAGGACAACAACACTAGTCTTTCAGGGCTTGCCCGTTCATCTCACCTCTCTCAAGAGATCCCCAGTAACTATAAACATAAAAGGACACGGATTAAATGTATCATATTGTATCTGAGATATATTTCTTGAGGAAGTTTAGTCAAATCAAGTGTACATCTGTCCAGAATGGGTGTACACCGTAGCTGAATTATCTTTTTCTACTTGCCCTCTGTATAAATTTGCTATATAGTTTACGGTTCCAGGAGTCCTATTTCATTTGCACACCAACATGGGTGTGGTGGTTCACACCCATATATCTTCGAACTGAGGATCCATTCGGGGTTGCAGTCCAAGTCATGCATCACAGGATGATTGTCAACTTAAGAAATAGAAAAACCCGTTGGGGTGGGTGCAGAAGCGCTATTATGCATGAAACCTTTATCTGGAAGATGTTTCCGCTAATTTGGCTCAAAAGCACGCAGCCTGATTGGTCTTCGGAATTGTCGTGTGATGTAAATATCGGAATTAATAGGGCACAATGTCTCAATGGAAGCAAGAAACAATATTTTTCAAACTTTAAATGACAGGGATAATTCCCTGTTCGCCCAACTGGATGGCTAGTGAGTCGTTGGGCATTAGACCTGGAGTCAGTGTTGTGCGGATGTTTTTGCGTCATGCAATACATATAAGGTCTCATTGGATTCTACAGTCCAAATGACATCATCGAGACTGTGAAGCTCAAACAGGGATCACTGTACAATTCTCATCTATTATCTCAAAGCTTCTCTCAATATGGCAGTTTGGTGGAGATTGTAGAATATATTAGAAAGCTAAAAACGGTGCTACTGTACGCTACCGGTAAACTGATCTCTAGAAAACCAGGGCCTGGTCTCTGTTCTGGAAGATGACAATCTTGCAGCCAGCACCATCAGTGGGTCAAGTGGTCAGGTTATTTATCGCTAGTGGCAGTAAGTCAGATTTGGATGTTTTACGCAAGACATGTTTGGTACTATCCGCTACAATAAAGACACCAAGGACTACGAGCACTTCAATCTCTCCACACAACCCCCAGGGCAAGATGCTCGTGGGTATACCTTGGTTGCCTGTGATCGGTGCCGCACTCGCAAGGCAGGTCACACTATGTTTTGATTTGAATCTAGCTAACTAGACTTCCTATCGTGTAGCTCAAGTGTACCGGCGAAGAAGGGGGCTGTGGCAGATGCCGAGCAGCGTCCACGGTCTGCAAATACACGATGAACACTCCCAATAGAGCCCAGCGAGCGAGATCATCGGAGCGTCGGTCTTCAATATCGCCTGAGACCTCCATGTTGAATATGGGGCATACTAATCATCCTGCCCCTCGACTAAGATCAAATTCCCCAAAACAACCGAGCACAAATACGGCTTCCACAGGTGTCTATCCACAGCCGTCCGGGGGCGGATCAGTGCCACCCGCTCGGGGCAGTGACTTGCTACCACCAACACCGCTATCATCTCAAAGACCCGATGCCACTGGAAACACAACAGTTTGCGATATGGACACAAGTTCATTGCTAACTTTTGATACACCGGATCAGCTGGCTCTAGAAGATTTCATGGTTCCAGAGCTGGATGTGTATCTCGCCGCTACAAATGGGATGGAACTCTCGGGTTTGGATGTTAGCTCTGGTGTGATACCTTCGCAGCCGTCCGTAACAGATGCAGGTTCCTCGATTGCTGGTGGGAGGGCTATTTCTGCGGGCCCCGTTTCCGCCCACATTCCGATGAACCGCGGCTTGAACCGCACAGCAGACTGCAACTGCCTTCCAAATCTCGTCGAACTACTGGAACGGCTGGGTCTACTAGAGGTAGACCAGATAGGGGTTGATGTACACTTGCTATGCCTGAGGTCGGCCGTATGTATTTGCAACAAGACTATCTCCTGCAGGACATGTACCGCTTGCTTTGATAATCCGATCCTCCTCGCGACAATCTCACAGAGTTTGGCTACTATTGCAGAGCATGTGTATCGTTCATGCGTACATCTACGGGATCCTAAATTTCCCAGTCGAACTTGGGAGGAGAAGGAGATCATATGGGGAAATTACCAAACAGGCGATGTCCTCGAAAGTGCTATCTGGCTTGGACGGTACCGAGTCGAAAGTCCCATATTACGGAATACGATGGTTTGTGAGGCCGGTGCGATGCATCTAGCTGAGCTCCAACAGATGTTGGAATTGCTGAGGGGTCGACTAGGACCGAGTCGGGTCGCAGTCACGCAGGTGTCTAGAGCGGGGGAGAGTACGTCTACCTTTCTCATCGCGCTTCATGAGCTGTCAAGAAGTGTTTAGGGAAATTCATGTTGGCAGTAGTTAGCTTTTGATAAAAGGCGAATAACAATATAGAGGAATGGCGTATACCTTGACTTGATCCAAATTATGCACCACCAAGATCCACGTATTGCGCTACGATTCAAGACTGGACCAGTGCAATTATTTGACACTGGATACTGATCTCAACTCTCTCTTTCACTGATGATCAGTTCTCTCCACCAGTCTTGACAAACTTGGTCTTTCATGATTGGCCGTATTTGAGGCACGGACCGGGCCGGGCCGGGTCTCCAGGCCAAAAATTCCGTGAATTAGATTACGCTTACATATGAAATCGTTGTATATGTAGTCAACACCCCATCAGTAATCTAGCCTGCTGGGCATCTTTAGTACAACTCGCACGGGCAATATGTCCAACGTATTGGAATTGTAGTGAGGTACTATGTATCTACTGTTCGACCAAGCTTAGACAATGGAAGTTTTACTAAACTACAGTGAGCCAAAGGACGATACGAGAGTACTCTAATCCTATTAGTTTAGAAAGCGGGGCACCCGACAAGTATAGCAAGTCATGTTTGGAAAATGCACACATAACGTCCCAAAAAATACACCTATGGTAATGATTCTTGAGCAGCCCACAACAGTAATTTATTATTTACGGGTCGTATGCTGCCTTAGATACATCCAGAAGTAAAAGTACAGGTGGCTCATCTGTACCGCAATACCAGCAATTGGAAGCCAGAACGTAACGGCACCATCCTAGGTCATAGGTCCTTCACGTACAGAGTGAGCGGAGTATGCGGGGATCTAAGTGAGGGTAAGCAAGTAGTTGATCCAGGCAGCCAAATGAGGAATCAGTGGCTTAGCACGCATTACTGATAGAATACCAATGGAGATAGCGAGCTCCTGCGTGGCGAACGGGCTTGTAACAACTGTAATTACAAGCTAAGATAGATGATTCAATGGTTCGGTTAGAGCCGGATCCCGTTCGAGTCGGTACAGAGTTGCCCCAAAGCACGGTGCGATTACTATTACTGCTTGTGACATTCCAGCTGTAGCGCCGCATTAGTTCTGTAGACAGAGGACGTTTGGATTGATGCCTGGGATATTGCGCAGAGAGTTAGTTAGGCCGAAGGAATACGTTGGCCACAGAATGGATACCACGGGCAGGATGGAGACCCCGGCTTCCTTTCCAGTGTTATTGGAGCGATAATGGTGAATGATTGACCTCGGGGAACACTTGGGGTCTATGGGGGGCAGAACGCGGGAAGCTGCCAAGAATATTGAGAAGAAAATCAGCGCGAGGCGGCCGCACGCGATCCACGTTATATCCCTGCTAGAATGCCTACACGTGGCAGGTGGTGATACTTCGAGCCTGTTTAGTATCAGGCTGCTTTGCATGTTTTTCTCGCTTGCTTTGTTCCAGAACTTGATGGAATTCGAAGGGAATGTAGACTATGAGTGTAGACTATGACACTTGCAAGCTTTCCATACGTTTATATATGATTATTTTCCTTGTGAAGATTACCCAGACATGCATGCACGCAATGTGATGTATCGTAATCTTTCGGGAAGTATGCTATCCGGAATTACGAGCACCAAAAAGGCAATTCCCCGAGAATGTATTGGAGCCTGTTTTCTTGATAGAAGGCGTGTGAACCCCCCGGCCATATATGACATATTGCCCGGTCAGGCGGCCTACAGCCACGGATGTATCCATGGCAATATGGCAAGACCCCTACCAAAAGCAGTGTAGTAGATCCCTGCATGTCCCAGCCCCATACGGAACAATTTGCAGGCCGCTGGGGGACTCCAGAAGATCGTCAACATGATGTTCAGACGAATCAAAAATCCCTGGACAGGAGCTGAGCACCCCAAAAGTTTACGCACCACGTAATAGCCCCACTAAACGACAACAAACACCAGTCGTCTTTTTGCAACGCGTGTAGTATATATCAGGATGACGACAAAGAATGGCAGACGCCTTTGCTTAGGTTGATATCATGTGAATGTTTGCCTGGTTGGAATTTGTTTTACTCGGCCAGGGGCCCGGATGATGATAAGGCTGCATGCGCCCACTCGTCCGAATAATTCAACCGTCCTGCAAGATCAACGTATGTCGCTCCTCTTGTGTTAGGCACCCCAGACACACGCTGCGGGGTATCCTATCTGCTCACCCCATGGTTACATGTTACAAATCAACCTTATGTGGGGACATGTGATATCAACTGAAGGACTCTGGAGTTCAAAGAATATAATCATACTGTATTATAGCAGAGACATACTTGACTACTACACCAAAAAGCTGAACCGCAGTTTGGACCGCTGGACCTGACTGGTATCCCCAGTAAGATATCATACGGTGTGGGAAAAATTACCACTCGGCTACAAAAGATATCTAGACACTTTTGAGCACTTGTGGATCACTTTTATGTATTATCTAATTTCTGGCATACTTCTCCAGGTATTACAGGTCTTTCAACTATAATACCTGAGTCTTTATATACTAGTAGCTCACTGCATACTAGCTGCATACTGGGTTGATCTTTATAAGTTAATTTAGCTAATTTATGACATACTAAGTTCTCTATATCTTAGCTTTATAAGAAAAGACTGTTTATAACAGGTTTTAAACCTGCGATCTCAGGGTACAGGAAGAGATCTAACATGCTACTATAGTATAAACCAGGCTTATAACTATGAGAAAAAGTACCACTCGGCTACAAAAGATATCTGGACACTTTTGAGCACTTGTGTATCACTTTATGTACTGTCTGATTTCCGACATATGGACATGTGCGTGTCTGTAATACATGGTAAATACACGGCAGCTTGGGAAATTCCGACAGTTTCACCTCCTCCTCGTAGAGGTAGTGCAAAAATACTGGTACCTATCCATGTGTATCAATTCTTCAACATGGGGTTCTGTCCAAGTCTTGTTCTTCCGAGCAAGTTCTTGATAAATATCAGGAAAGGTATCACTGGCACCTGCGGCTATCGTACTAGTGCAATGGCAAGTGCAGCGATGAGACCTGCAGCGATGAGACCTGCTAATCGGGATGTGGTGTGGGAACCCTTATAGCTCATGATACACAATGCTTCCTGCTGGGTGGTATAACTTGTTCCGCCGCCAACCGTACTGACTGGAAGCGAAGGCATGTGGAGGCTAATCTTTAATGATATTGTAGTATAGTCGTAATCACAGATAAAATGAGCCCAAGCTCATTAGCAAAACTAGCGACATCGTGTCCGGTTGCTATAAAAATTGCTGTAACAGAATTGGTAGTGTTCACATTACGGCCAAATGAGCAGTTATGAATGCCTCCTTGCAAGAGACGGCGGGTCCTGTAGAGTGGCTCAGCCATGTGGTCAAGGACTTTTTGACAGGCGGAATTGGATAATACTGCCCATGGGATGACCTTGACTTCCGTGGGTGCCACGACAGTACCCCGGGTTAGCCTTTTATTCAAAGGCCATATTTCTTCCAGTAATAAGATTCTTAAACTTGAGTGCTGAAGCAAACAAGGAGTTTCGTAGCTATTCGCAAGCATGCTGCGTAGTAATTGTAACCACATTCTGTCCAGCCGTATCACCGCGCGTATAACTGAAACGCACATGCGCATCAGAACCAGGGATATAGCTTGTCAGATTCTGTAAAAAGTCAAGGCGGCTAGTTGCTTCAGCAGACCTGGCCAGAGTACCTTTAGAGTCAAGGAAGTCTGCGACTAAACTAGACAGCCTCCTGAGGCAAATCAAATTGGAACACTAGACTTCGAGACATGACTGTACCTAGATTAAATAAATACCACCAGACAAGCGCAATGCAATCTATCCCCTTGAGTAACTAGCAAAATTAGCAGCCTCGGTCGTGGTCATAGGAGCGTAGTCGTCTTCAGGAGTGCCATCCAGTTCATGAACGCGCAGTGGTCCTGCTAGTCCAAGCAGCAAAGTGATATAGCCGACGAAAGTCTAAATAGAGTCCTGGAAGCCATCTGAGGTGATATATTTCAGATCCGCCAAAACATGGTCGAATTTCTTCGTAAGTATAGGTGTCATAGTACTGCTGTCTGAGATGCGAGAAATTCTGTATTCCAGGACATGCTTTGTTTCAGAATCGAATAAGAGTAGGCCTGAGGGCTTTCTATAAATGGAACTGGCGTAAGCCTTAGAAACTCGAACTCATCGGGAAATTGGCTCACCTTCAACCTCAGTGAATTCAAAGCCACATGCCGGATGTTACCCCTTCCGTCATGTCCGCCAGCACAGCATGCACATACGCGTAATCGAGTATAGACATCCACGTGCACACATAAGCTATCTCATGTTCTTCGCTCACTTACTGATACCAGTGAGTTGCTCTCCCCTCCAACCAATAGTGGAGGGAAAGCTAATTAATCTTGACGGAGTCATTGTACTAGGAGCCGGTAAATCCGCATCCATACAGCTAATTGTTTTCCAAACATGTAATCATATACCGAAGTGTTATCCAGACGCGCGGGCTGAAATCAATGCAGAGAAACGTTAACCCTAGTTGATAAAACGAGTAATTAAACTTTCGATAGTTTAGGGTATCAGATTGGTATGTTGTGGTGGAGATTAATATAGATCGAAGAACCATTTGTGACATAACATGTGCTTTCTAGACTTATTACTGTAATGTTGAATAACATCACCTCCTAGGTGCCTCCTCCAGTTTCCCAATATCCCAATCGCGGTTTGCTCAAGCGGCATACAACCTCGGTGAAGACCGACGAGGGAATCAACATCAGCTATCAGCGAGCTCACATAGTGGCCAAAGCATACGGTATGCTTACAAACAGCGTGAGAAATTATTCCTGCGAATTAGGAAATAGACATTAGAGTTCACGATGTGCTTAACCTATCCCATAAATTTTGGCAGTTGCACCCTTCGTCGCTGCTTTCAATCTTGCAGCTTATACCCTCGTGGCGATCCAACTCAATCTTGCTGCTGGGACGCTGGCACCATTCACATGACACAAGCTGGTATGTCTAACATGTCAAGATTAGTCAGGAAAGGATCTTTACAGATGAGGCGGAGGCACTAGATTCTGTGTTACCGCAGC